GGGCATGGTGGTGCATGCCTGTAGTCCCAGCTACTCGGGAGGCTGAGGCAGGAGGATCACTTGAGCCCAGGAATTTGAGGTTACTGTGAGCTAGGATGATGCCACGGCACTCTAGCCCGGGCAACACAGTGAGACTCTGTCTCAAAAAAAAAAATGACAATATGTGAAACTCCCTTTTAGTTAAAAGCCTCGGTAAGTCAGCTGTTGATTAATATGTAATCTGTGGTAGCTTTCTCTTAGTTTAAAATCTGTTAAATTACTATTTTAAGAATGAATTCTACCTTTTAGGTCCTGTCTTCGTTATTTACTAAATTCCCTGACTTGGGAAATCAAACAAGGAGACTGGAATAAATCCATTCAGGACTTTAGTTTGGATTAGATCATGTGTGAGTATAAAATCAGATGCAGTGTAATTCTTGTAGCTTTCATTTATGTCATTTTTTAAAGTTGTATCTTCTCTCTGAAGATTTTTTGTTTTAAAGAAAACCTGTTGGGGGGAGTGAATGTAAAATATTGGGATTTTTGAGTGGCACCTGGTTATTGTAATCCTCTTATCACATTCAATAACTATTTACAAACCATAATCATAAGATTAGCCTCATTTCTTACTCTCTTGATGCACATCCTTTTAAAGACATGTGGTTGCCTGGTGAACAATGGCACTTTAGGGTTTTCTGGAAAAATACCAAGTCTTACAGTGGTGAAATCTGAAAAGCATGTGAATTAAAATGCTCCTGAATTCGAAAATTGACATTCAACCCACCTTCCTTTTCATCCTTCTCACTCCACCACCAAGACTTACTGCATAGTCGTCTACTGACGGGCTGTCTTTAATAACTAGTCAGAATTTGCTTTCTTCATAAATTCTAAGATATTGCCTTGTTGGTTCTCCTGAACATGAGCCTCTCAGTAAAGTTTCAAACCAAGAAATCTTAATTTTGTTTTTCCATCTTCAGATTGTCTTTTTTGAACACAGTGGCATATTTTGCTAATTTATATTCAACCAACAAAGTTGAAATAAGACTCTACTTGGTAACCTGTCTTTCCAGTAGTGCTAATGGGTTAAGCACTGGGGCATGGGCGACCAGGGCAGAGTGTGATACGCATTATCTTTCCATAGTCCGGTTCCTACATAACGTCTGGTGAAGAGTGAAAGGGCATGAAGAGGTTACTATGGGATAACACCTGAAAGAGCTAAGATTCAGCGCCGCATATGGTAAATTTTGTCATGACAAAGTGCCACGGTTCTCATTACTATTCACGAGCAAAAACAAAAAAAAAGGTCCCCCCTCTCTTCACCTGTGTATGTTGGTTTAGAGTGGTCTGCTAGGATGCCAGCGACGTGAGGAGGAGGGCTGGGCGTCTGCCTCCACTCATTTGTTCATTTGCCTGCCGGGCCCTGTTCTCAGTGCCAGGTGTGCACAGGAGCGAGCAAGAGGGTGACAGGGACCAACACCCTTTAATTCGCTTATGCATTCGCTGGGCGGTGGTGCGGAGCCGGCTCTTCAGGGCCCTCGGCGCCGGGCCTCTAGCGCGGGTAATGGACTTTCCACTCCCAGACCGGAGCGGGCGGGAGCCCGGAGCCTCGGCGTCGGCGCGCAGTGTCGCCAAGTGTCGCGAGGCCGGCGCTCGGCGCCTTCGCACCCGGCAGGCGGTTTGGGGGCGCGCGGGGCGCCGGGCTCCGGGCTCGCCCCCGCCGCTCCGGGCAGGCGCGCCTATGGCGTTTCTCGGGTGACGCCGCCCGCACCGACTGTCCCCGGCGGAGGAAACACCTATGAACCCTTCGGCGACCTTCCTCGCCGGGCGCCAGGTGAGCGGCCGCCCCGCCCGCCCGCCGCTCCTGCCCGGCGCGTCTGGGAGGACCGCGCATGGTGGTCAGAATCTAGGTTGCTTTTAAAGAACGGTTTCTGCGTAAAATTTAAAACAACACGCAGCACACAGAGTAAAAACGGAGCGTCACGTCCGTTTCCTTAACCTAATAAAAACTGGTTATTTAGCTCAGGCCAAAGAGGCGCGAGTACCCAGTGGTTACTTTTTAAGGATGACAACTGGCATTTTTAGAGCTGTTTTTCTGTACACCTGGTTGGATGTCCTTAGTTTATTTAGCCTGGCGAGTGGAGGAGGGACACTCTTATAGCTCTGTTTTATCAACAACTCTTGAACGTGAACTTGCCCAGGGTTTGCACTTACCAGTATATAACAAGATGAACTCTTTGTATTGGCTTATTGCCTGTTTTCCTGTAGTAGAATATATGCTCCTTGCCTGATGTGCTCATAACTGTGTCCCCAGCCACTGGTGCCCAGTAAATGTTTGTTGAATAAATGAATGAATGGCTAACCAAAGACTGGAATTTAAGTCTTGTGACTTGGAATCCCTTGACTCCAAATTCCATTTTCTGTGTTCAGCTACTAGTAAGTAACTGTAATTCATTCATCATTCTTATTTAGAAATCTCATTTTTCAAAAGCTGTAATGATGTACATGAGCCTCTGGAGAACTTTTAACTGCTGTCTCCAAGGTGGAACTCTTAAAGCAAAATTTTAGTTCTTTATTTCATAGACAGGGATGGTATCATAATTCGAAACGTGGTTTACAGTCTTAGTAATAGCTAATGTTTCTTGAGTGCTTGCTATGCACCAGACTTCGTGCTTAAGCACTTCGTAGAGTTTATCTTGCTTAATCTACCTAACTCCAGGAAGTTAAAGTGCTGTTGTTACTGTTTGGCAGGCGAGGAAACTAAGGCTTAGAGAAGTAACCGCCCAAAGGTTATTTTATATAGCCACTAAGTGGCTAATTCTGGATTCATACTTGGGTCAGACCAAATTCAGTGCACTAGACTTTAAAATGATGTGTGCTTAAAAGAGATTATGGTAGATGATGTTGTTAGGAGTGAAAATGGCATTATGGTTATATAAGAAGTGTTCATTTTGGCCGGGTGTGGTGGCTCACGCCTGTAATCCTAGCACTCTGGGAGGCCGAGGCGGGAGGATCGCTCGAGCTCAGTAGTTTGAGACCAGCCTGAGCAAGAGCGAGGCCCTGTCTCTACTATAAATAGAAAGAAATGAGCTGGGCAACTAAAAATATATATATATATGTATAGAAAAAATTAGCCGGGCATGGTGGCACGTGCCTGTAGTCCCAGCTACTCGGAAGGCTAAGGCAGAAGGATCGCTTGAGCCCAGGAGTTTGAGGTTGCTGTGAGCTAGGCTGACGACATGGCACTCTAGCCCAAGCAACGGATGTCTCCAAAAAAAAAAGAAGAAATGTTCATTTTTAGACATGCTTACTGAAGTATGTAAGGGTGAAATGAAATTTTTTATCAATAACAAACAGAAAAAGGAAAATTGAAGCAGTTGTTACAAAATCTTGATAAAGGTAGAACCTAGTTATTGAATATATGGGAGTTTATGGTACTATTACCTTTTGTGTATGTGTGCAAAATTTCCTTACAAAACTTGGTTTTTAATTAGGTATGTTGAGTTTGGACCAGCGACAATATTAAATTGTCCTTGATAGATTGAGTGCCTATGGATGTCTCAGATGTTGTGGTTATAATAAATACTTACTTAACACTGTGGAACTTCATTCTCTTTTTGTAGACTAAAATTCCCATTCTTTAGTAAGAACTGATATTTAAACTGTAACCGTTTCATGTTTACCTTTACTTGGTTACTCCGTAATTGTTGGGGCAAGGTGGGGGTAATGTTGCTGATTGGTGGAGGAAAGGATTCTCCTCAAGGATTCCAGGAAAGAAATGACAGCAAAGCGGAAAGAAGTGCAGAGATGGGTTTGTTTGTGGTGAGCCAGTGGGTTTAGAAACAGTCCCACTTTTTCAGCATGGTGTGTGGGGCATGACAGAAAATAATAGAGAGGCAGAGTGCATGGCAGGTTTGAACTTGAACTTGCTTTTTAAGTACACATCATTTTGATGCCATGTTTTTAATAATAAAACTTGTAAATAATATTAACAAAAAAACTTAATTTAACTGAGAATAGGCAGTGAAGGAAGATATAATAATTTGGAAAATATACCTTGGCTGATTTATGCTATTGATTAGTTTTGTTCCGATGTAAAACCACTTTCTGTGTTTAGAACATCGGGTCAGAAGTTGAGATTTCCACTATTGAGAAACAACGGAAGGAGCTGCAGTTGCTCATCGCAGAATTAAAAGACCGAGATAAAGAGCTCAATGATATGGTGGCAGTGCACCAAAGACAACTCCTTTCGTGGGAAGAGGATCGGCAGAAAGTGTTGACTTTGGAAGAACGTTGCAGCAGATTAGAAGGTCAGAAATACATTCGCTAACATCTGTTATGCACGTCTGTATACGCTGACACGTGGAAAGGGCTCAGGGGGAAGGAAGGTAGAGAAGAAATGAAGGACACAGTCCCTGCCGGCCTGGAGTTTAGTCTCATGGCTGATAGGAGGACTTTATGAACAGCTGCGGTCAAACACACACACACAAATAATGAGGGGCAAACAAGTCCCGATTAACAAGGAGTGAGCATCAAGGGTGAATTTGAAGGAAGTTTTGAGCAAGAATATGAATAAAGAAGCTGTATGACTAGCCATTTCTTTTCAACTGACTTGAAGATTTTAAAGTTCTGATGTTGAACTTGATCTTTTTTTATTTTTATTTTTTATTTACTTAATTTTTTTTTAGAGACAAAGTCTCGCTCTGTTGCCCAGGCTGGACTGCAGTGGCATGATCATAGCTCACTGCAGCCTCGAATTCCTGCCTTAGCCTCCCGAGTAGCTGGGACTACAGGTGCGCACCAACACACCTGGCTCATTTTTCTTATTTTTTTGTAGAAACAGGGTCTCACTATGTTGCCCAGGCTGGTCTCAAATTCCAGGCCTCAAATTAAGCTCTATTTTTTGAGTATTCAGTCTTGGGTGGTAAAACTGTAATAAAAAGCTAGGAAATGATTCCTGTAAGATCAGGGTGGTCACGGGGAAGGTGGAAATAGGAGAGATTGTGTTCAGGAAGTGACATCTGGGGGGCTTCTGGTTGCTGTCAGTTTTATTTCTTGATGAGGTACAGCACTGTGCATTTCACAAAAAAAAAGAAAAGAAAAAAAATTCTCCTTTAAAAAAGTCTTTAGCACACTTTACTAAAATTTTAACCACCAATTTTGAAAATAATGCATTTTAAGCTCCAGATCTGACCACAAATAAGTTATTGATGAAATTTCCCTCAGCTGAACTACATAAAAGAACAGAAATAATCAGGTCCCTCATGAAGAAGGTAAAAACCCTCGAATCCAATCAGATTGAATGCCAAACATCTCTTCAGAAGACGCAACTACAGCTTCAGGAAATGGTTCAAAAGGCAACACATTCTTCTCTCCTCGCTGAAGACCTGGAGGTTGGTTTTATTTTTCGATAAGCTTCACTAGTCCAAATTCTGTTTGTGTTTCAATTATTGAAAAATTAGATTTAAATGTTTCATTAAAAATGGACATGGCATATGTATGAAAGTGTATACGTCCATCCACAATGACAGTTTTGTATTCATCCTGCAGTTGTGGTCAGCTGCACAGCACTTTGCTGTCTTGGAGATCAAGCTGCAATTCAACCCTCTGTAACTATTATGCCATTGGGTTAGTAGCAAATACCGGTTAATCAACAATGGGTTATTTTAGAAAGCCTTTCTCAAAGGCTGACATGAGTATCATCAAGTTTTGGTAGCTTCCAATTATGTTTCCTCAATTATTGTGTCTTACCTGATATGATAATCATATCTACACTGTGTTGGTATCACACTGGGAATAAAGTCTGTAAGACTGATTTTTCAGTTTTCTGTTCTAACTGGTCAGTCATCACATAGCTTTTAGCTTGTGCCTTATGAGAGGCACAGAGAGAAAGCCAGCTTACTTTTTTGTTATATCCTTCATATTCTTGTTACATAATGATATTCAGTATAGGTCTTGGTAAGGTAATGAGTCTTTATAATTCGTAATAAGATTATAGATTTTATTTTAGGTTTTTTTTTTTTTTTAGAATACTATTCTGGATAGTTTCTAGCTATAAGATGAGCAAAAACCGTTATAGAATCTGTTGATATGTGGGATGAAAAAAGGGAAGATATCTTTTTAACTAATAAACTTTATCTTTTAGAACAGTTTTAGGTTCACAGCAAAATTGAGCAGAAAGTAGGAGAGTTCCCACATATCCCCTGTGTCCACACACACAGCCTTCCCCACTGTCCCCGTCCTACGCCAGGATGGGATGATCTTCGTTGACATGTCGTCATCACCTGATATTTACAGTTTATTTTGGATTCAGTCTTTGAGTTTTATATTCTATGAGGTTTCGACAAATAATGACATGTATCCACTATCGTAGTATACACAAAATAGTTTGACTGTCCTAAAAATCCTCTGTGTTCTGCCTGTCCCTTCCTGTCCCTTCCTCCCCGCTCACCCCTGGTAACACAGATCTTTTTACCGTCTCCATAGTTTTTTGCCTTTTCCATGCTGTCATGGAGTTGGAGTCATGCGGTATATAGCCTTTTCAGATGGACTTTTTTCACTTAGTAATATGCATTTAAGTTTCCTCCTGAAGGTTTCTTTTAAAAAGTCTGATTATTATTTTTTTCCAGCTAGCAAATACATCATGTACACAGTAATTATATCAGATACACTGCTTTGGTTTAAAAAAAAAAAAAAAAAAAGCAACTGTCCTCCTCTCTGTTTTCTCTTCATCCTGTTTATTCATTGATCCCTTTTTCTTATTAATCTGCCGTTGGAGTCATGCGGTATATAGCCTTTTCAGATGGACTTTTTTCACTTAGTAATATGCATTTAAGTTTCCTCCTGAAGGTTTCTTTTAAAAAGTC